ATCGCCGATGCATCAACAACGTCGGCGCGGAGAATATCGGGCTCACATTGAGCCGCACCTCCGATGCATCGGCACTGCGGCGCGATCCTCTGTCACTGTCTACTCGGACCTCATTTGAGCGACGGAAAAAAGGGTCTTACGCACGATGACGTAGTGCCCTTACGCAATGGCTTCCGCGGGTCGCCACCGTGGCACACTGCGTGGAGAAGAGGACGCTTTCGTGAGACCTTGCGCGGGATTTTCTCGCGAGTGCAAGCGCAATCGGCCTTGCTTTCTTCTGTCACTCGTTTGTCGGGAAGACGTAAGACTCGGGGTCGGGGGATTCGAGCCCGCCTGATGGGACCGTCAGGAAAATGACGAGACTCGATCTGTAGAATTTGACGCGAGGACCCGCTGCAATGCATCCTACGAAGACTGGACCGCCAACAGCCAGGCCGCGCCCATCAAAGAGCGTCAGCAAATCCGAGCTCCAGCGAACTCGAGAGGCTCACGTTTCCCCAAATTTGGGGAGGTCTGTACATAATTACGCGGCTGCCCATCTTGAAGGCGGCCAGGGGGTCTGAACTGGATGGGACTCCCCAGAACATCCCCACAGGGAGACTGTCCCCGTACATGGGGATTTTGGACGAAAACAACAAATACCAAAGCAATACCCCCAAATGGTTTAAACAAATATTCAAAAAATAGTTCCCAGACTATGTTTTCACTATTTTGGAACATTCCTCCTGTAGAGGGACAAATCCGACTTAAGGGGGCCGAGGCCACATCATCTGAAGGGGCCCCAGAAAATCAAGCAAGAGGGGGCGACAAGGCCACATCGATCCCCGACCCTCCCAAGGTCCTTCCGGCCAAATCTTTCGCCCCGGCTCCGTGTTTGACGGTCGCGGGACCCGACAACGGCCCCCGAGGGCCGAGAAAGCCAAAGACCTCGTCGAGCCCAACACATCGAACCTGCCCCCCGTCCTGCTGGCGAGGACCAATGTTTTAGACGAGCGCGTTCCACTACTCGCAAAGGAACTACTCGCAAATGGCCTGGATCCCCCGCCGGGGATCTGCGATAACTTACATCAAAACAGACACGTGGTTTTCGGACGTTTGCGAATAGGCAATTTGCGAGTAGTGGAACGCGCTCGGTGACGTGTGGAGGCCCCAAATGGGTACGAAGAAACTGGGTACGGTGCCCAACATCTAATGCTGTCCAACACCGACCGCGACCGCTGTGGGGCAGGCGGCTTTCTGCTTCAAGTGGACGACGCTCGCGGCGACGCCGACAGCGAACTGTTCAGAATTGAAGAAGAACTGCTGCCGGTCTTCGCACAATTTCGATCGTGCCGCCAGTGTTAGAAGGCAACTACTGGGAGGTTTTCGTCGGGAACATTAAGGAGGATTAAGCCCCATTTGGAAGCTGTTACGCCAGAGTGGGCCTCGGACTGAGCAGGATTAAGCCGGATCAAGCGGGATCAAGCCGAATCAAGCGGAATTAGGCGGCATTAAGCCGGATTTCGGACCAGGGCAAAATCAGAGTTTGACCTCCCAGGAGTTACATCCGAATGCAAGGTGGGTTTCTGGCCGCCCCCCCCCCACCGAAAAAAAACACAGTAGCACCTGCTGAACCTGAACCCTCGGGCGTTGGCTGCATGGGGGGCACTTGTGGAGTCCAAGACCCGGATAGCAGGGCGCCTGAAGGGCGTGGGCAAGCCTGGCGAAGAACTCTGGAAGGACCTGGAGAGAGCCATTCAAGGACCTTCTGGAGAGCTTCCGGGCACGCGTATTGGGAAACGCTTGGAAAGGCCTCTCGGGACCCGCTGCGAACTCAAACAAGTCACAGCGGGGATTTTGCCCGGAAGCCGGAACGACCTCCGGGGCTACCCTGCGGCTCCGGCTTCTAATCCAATAACCCTCTGAGCCTGTTTTTTAAATCAGGCAAGTTTACTTGCATGGCGTTCGCGAACACCCGACCGGTAGGGTAGCCGTGGCCCTCCCGGCGAGCAGGACCCCCAAGGCATCCACGGGACACTGACAACTCCCCGAGAGAAAAACCCCCTCCCCCTCCCCCACCCCCGCTCCAGGGGCATACCCCCGTAGGCCCACCCGACGCCCCCCGTCAGGCCCCCCCCCCCCGCCCCCCCCCCCCCCCCCCCCCGCCCGCCCGCCCCCCGGCCCCGCCCCCCCCCGCCCCCCCCCCCCCTACCCCCGGCACCCGCTCTGCCGCCTGCCGACCCGCCATACGCCCGGAGGCCCCCTCTCCCCCCCGCCCCCCGCCCCCACCCCGGGGAGCCCCCCCCCCCCCCCCCCGCCCCCCACCCCCGCCCGGGGCCGCCCCCCCGCCCCCGCCCCCCCCCTGGCCGCCCCCCCCCCCACCCCCCCCCCCCCCCCCCCCCCCCCCCGTGGGCAAGCCTGGCGAAGAACTCTGGAAGGACCTGGAGAGAGCCATTCAAGGACCTTCTGGAGAGCTTCCGGGCACGCGTATTGGGAAACGCTTGGAAAGGCCTCTCGGGACCCGCTGCGAACTCAAACAAGTCACAGCGGGGATTTTGCCCGGAAGCCGGAACGACCTCCGGGGCTACCCTGCGGCTCCGGCTTCTAATCCAATAACCCTCTGAGCCTGTTTTTTAAATCAGGCAAGTTTACTTGCATGGCGTTCGCCCCCCCCCCCCCCCCCCTCGCCCCTCTTCAAGCGAGTACTAGCGTGCAAATGCCTTTCGACTTGCGTGATTTCCGCGTCCCCCCCCCGGGGCTTGCTTCAGGCTCAGCCCCCCCCCCCCCGTCCATGCAAGTAAACTTGTCAGAGTATTAAAAAAAACAGGCTCTCTTAGCTCCAGAGAGCTACCCGGGAGCAAGAGGGAGGGTCAGGCAGCGTGCACCTTTTGTGCACCCTCGGGGCCCTCCCGCGCTCCCCTCGTGCGCCGTCGGTGCCCGCTCCGGGCCCCCTATGGGGATTGGGGCCCCTTCCCTGCCACCCCCGACCCCCTGCAGTCGAACCTGGGCCAGAAGAACATCCTTCAAGAACATGAGACCCGCCGTCGGCCAAGACAAATAGAACATCCAAGGGTACCCTCCCCAGGATGCACAAGGACATCCAACAAGCACGAACAGCATCCTCCCCAGGATGCACAAGAACATCCAACAAACACTGAAAGCATCAGGGCACTCTTCCTGAGCTGACCTTGATCTCATACCTCGGTCCGATTCCATCATCGCCCACCCAATTCTGCGAAAATCCCATGGCGGTTCCCAAACACCGGCCCACTCTTGGGACCGCCCGGCCCCAAATTCCGATTCCCCCAGCCGCGGTCCAGAGCCGTGCCCACGACAGAACTCCCCCCAGATGCGCGAGCGAGGTCAACAACTCGACCCTGAGGCGCCATAGAAACGTTGGCCATGCCCGCCGGTGGTCAGAAGAACGAGAAGCTGCATAAGTACTCAAGTTCAGAGTTGGAGGCGGCCGACGGATCGGAGCTGGATGGGGCCCCGATGGAATTGGGCAAGAAGGGGGGATTAAGGTAAATCTGCTCAAAACCGATCCTTGGACCCCTCCCGGGTCCATCCGAAAGGATTTTTCACTCCAGATCCGCTGTTAACGGTCCTGAGGCTCGAAAACGGCCACCGAAGGCCGAACAATATCTCTCTCCCTATTATATACATGTGTATGTGTATATATATATATATATATATATATATAACGTATCGAACTCAACATCTAGAACCCCTTTCCCCCCTTCCCGTTCGCCGGAACCAGTGCTGGATCACCTCAGGCCACCAGTTGGTTCCAAGCAATATCACACAAGTTCAGAGGTCCGCGTCGACCCTAGAAACCAGCGCGGACATTCGACTGGAGGCCCCGCGAGGCCTCGGGGAGCCCTCAGAAGGCGTCCGAAGGTCCTCTGAAAGCCTTCGAGGGTCTTCCGAATCGCGAAATCTGATCGGATCGGAAACGGACCAGATCGCCAGCGAGTCGTCCCGAAATGAATCCAAACCCCCTCGGGTAACGAAAAAGCGCGGCAGAAGGTTTCCCGCTATGTTGGGCCGCTGGGGGCCATTATCAGGCCTCGGGAGAATCAAAACGACTCAGCGGGACTGGGCCGAGACCTCTAGGGTCGACGCTCTCAAACAATCATGACGCGTCGGGGGCCTTGGAATCGAGATAGGGTCGCCGCGCCTAGCTCTGGGTAGCCCCGGCTGGTGCCCGAGCCCGCGAACCCGAACATCCGACGTCGCGGGAAAGTGAAGCATCGTCTATTTGGAGTCCAGAAACGGTGCGCTGACAGACCGTGCCGTGACCTCGAAATCCCCCAAGATCTCACTGCACGGTCCGTCACCGCACGGTTTTGGGACCCTGGAGGCCTCTGTCGCCCAGGACATCCTCGGAGAGGGACCCGAGTCCCAAAACCGTGCCGTGACCCCGAATCCCCACCGACTCACCGCACGATGTGGTCACCGCCCCGTTTGGGGCCCCCCGAGTCTACAATCACGACCCTGAGCCCCGGAACACTAGACCCCACCTCCCTGCGGCAGTTTTCGAGCTGGATCGATCTGCGATGGCCCCAGGGCCCGAAGCACAGCGAAAACGCCCGTCGTTACAAAAAATGGCAACGCCGGGATCCCAAGGAATCCGCACGCATCGGACCTGAGACGGCCCTGCGAGACCTCCGACTTGGATCGGCGAAGGGGTTGCTAATGGTACAGGGGGGTTATCTGTGGATGCTAAGGTGCACTGCATGTTGCCAAACCTAGCCCACAAGTTGGTTGCAGTTACCATACGCGGCTCAGGGAGGTTCGCGATCCTGGCCAGGCCAGGTGGGCTCCGCCCACTTAGCAGAGTTGGCGAATCCCTCCAGCCACTTGGGGCCCTTGTAACTCACTTATCAGCTAGGTTAGGCCACATATGACCCACCTTGGCATCGACTGATGACCCCCCTATCCCCTTATCACCCCCTCCGCCGGTCCAAGGAGAGCCCTCCGCGACCAGACCTCCGGCCGATCCAGGCGCCGCAATGCGCCTAACTGGTCGGCCGCCTCCTCCGGGCTGCCCGAGGCGGCGGAGCCCTCGGCCTGTGTGTGGGGGGGGGGGGGCAGCCGAGCAAACGGGGCGAGTCGGGCGGAGGGGTCGCTAAGTGCGGAACTGCCCGAGCTGCCCCTCGGCTCGCGCTGGGGAGTGCACGACGATCTGCTCCCGATTTCCCTGGGGATCTGCAAGCTTTCACGCCGCCTTGTGCGTGGGATGTCCCTCGATCGACCTGGGTTTGCCCAGATGTCTCTGGCCTGACCCACGCAAGTCGACTAGAGAGGGGGGCCTGGGCCTGGGCACAAGAAAGAAAAAAAAAAACAACACAAGGGCGATGAACCCCAACTCGGTGAAGCATATCGTGGACCTCCTCGCTGGAGGTGGCCCCACTCGTGACGGGATCCGTCCACACCGCACCATGGCATCGAACCGAGACGTGCCTCGGATCGGACTGCACCGGCACGGAATCAACATCGAGTCGGAACGGCTGCGCCGGGATGCTCACATCGGATCGTCGGACTGTCGGATTCGGACCCGCCGCATGCACACGTCGCGCCACATCGGATCGTCGGACTGTCGGAATCGAATCGGATCGGGCCCGCCGCCATCGACATCGGATCGGACAGTCTGGATTGAGATGGGCCCTGCCTTGTGGTGGTGGCGTCGCTCTCTTTTCCTCTGAGGGCCTACAGTCAACCGGTATAGTAAGGATGCGCGATAAGGATGCAAGGGCCTTGGACGCCCATTTCGAAGCTTTTCGAGCGGGGCTCGGACGACGAAAGTGGCGAAGGATTGACCGAGGAGGCAAGGATGCAAGGGTACCCTTGGGAATGTTGCCCATCCTTACTATGCGGGTCGACTGTAGGGCACGCAGACTGCCTGGGCCTGGGACACGCAGCCACGCCTCGGCGGTGAGGCTCGGCGAGCTGCGCGCTGACCGAGCTCAGCGCCGGACGCACGCCGGAGAGACCGGACACGCAGGAGGCACCGTCGCACCACCGCCGTGCCTGGCAGTGGCGGGCATCCTGGGCCCTGGCATGGTGCGCACGCCCACGGGCCCATGTTCTGACTCTTCGCGACGACGCCCGTGACCGCCCCCTCCCCACCCTCCCCCCTCGGAGGAGGCGATGAGGGTGGATAGCCGGGGGGCGGTCCAAAACTTGCGCCGCGCGCCTGATCAAATCCCCAACCCCCCCACTGCAGCGCCCGAAACAATGTTGATATTACCGAGCCCCGAGAAGGGTAACGCCCGCTCCTGGGCGATCCACCCTCATCGCCTCCTCCGACCCTCTCCCTGGTCACGTCACGAAACGTGCGTGTGGGCATTCCTGGACGGCGCCAGCGCGAAGCGTGACGTGACCGCCCCCATGCCCCCCCCGACCACTCTCCACTATCACCAAGGAGGAAAAAGAAAATCTGTCGCCTGGCGTGGTGTGTACGCCCTCCTGGCCGAGGCCAGGAGGGTCTGTTGTACGCCATGCTGGGACCGCCGAGAGCAGCGGTAACCAGGCGCAGGATCAAAGGCAGGACCGACCGACCGCAGCTGGGGCTCGGCGGAATCTGTGACGCCAGCCTTCGTTTCAGACGCCGCGTGGATCGCGCAATCTGCAAACTTCGCGGCTTTCCGATAGCGCGGATCGCTCGATTTCGGCCGATTCCGGGCCTGGCAACGTTCAACCTGGAAGGCCCGTGTCCGTAACGCCGCCGCGTCAACGCGGCGCAAACCTGCAGCAAATATATAGAGAGAACGACGCCCGGTACTACCACGGCGGCGACAAAGAGGAACGGGTCTGGCACGACGGCGCGACGAAACCTCACCCGATAGCTTGCGCAGACCGCGCGGAGAGGATGGCGCGTGCGCAAGCAGCTTGCGCGCGAAAAGACCGCGCAGTCGGCCCTGCTTTCCACGTGGGGGGTCCGGTCAGAATCCAGAGTAAGGATGCAAGGTAAGAATGCAAGACCCTTGTGCCAATCTCGCTTACCATATGATAGACGTCGGCACTGGTGCAGAATAAGCAGAAGAAGCAGGGAAGCAAGGGTATTTGCTTGTTTTCCTTTCGAGAACGTCAAGTGCCGCGATTATTATCATACATAAGATATATCTTCGTATGTGTCTCATCACAGCTGCCCCCAGACGCCACTGAAAGCTGCGAGGCGCATAAGCCTGCCACGGAATGCGTACTACGCCCAATTGGAAGAATTGTCTCTCCCTCGGGCGAAAAATGTGCCACCCTGCCCGCACTTGTCTGGTGGTTGTTGTGATTCACCGCGCAACACCTGCTGGAGTTGCTAAGGAATGAACTGCCACCTCTTCAGAAACATGGCGTTTCAGCAACAAACTGAATCCAGAAATGATGACGGAATCGCTGCCCGTCCAACCGAGGAGTCCGTCGCGGAACAAAGATGGGTGGGGACAAACTCAAGGTCAGAATCTATTTCTGGGGGGAGCCCAGAAAACCAGAGGCAATGCACAAAACAACACGCACTTGCAAAACAATATGATATGGCGAACTTCTGATATCGCCCATGTGCCATCTTCAATTCGGCTGGTAACAAGCGCTGCGCTTGTAAAACACATAATCGCTGCAAAAATCAAGACGGACGGCATGGCACGGTACTCCGCAAGATAAGCGAACCGGCAATCGTGCACGTACGTGAAATATTCCACACACGCGAGAAGCAGCTACGCTAAGTGAAAGTTTTTGTCTACCCATTCCATGGAAGTGTCTGTAGAAAACCAAAGAAGCCGAACGTTCTGCAGAGACACGAATACAACAACAACAACAACAAAAACGACACCCCGTGTTCTAAATCTGCGATGATGCACCGCCGCGCTGGCTCGACCCCTCCATCTCACGACAAGATGATGCCCTGCCGTGCACACGAAGATGCCCCAGACGACTGCAACGCCGACTGTGGTGTACGCGCCATGCACGTCCCCGTCTAGGAACCACTCGCCGAAAGACGGAAGAACGAAACGCAAAAGAAATACAACACGAAAACCGTAACGCCCAACAATTTGCCATTTGCACCCAAACCATGCTGCGCCGGTATGATTGAACGCTGCCCAGGAAAATGAAACCGACATCACATTGAATGACACACGAGAACAGTACTGTAGCCGTACATCACCACAAAGCCACAGAAATGTGATGAACAAATGTACTGCCGCCGTGGCGATGAACAGGTACGGAATCCAATATCGAAGCTTTTCCTCGCTGTTTGTATTAAGACTGGCTGCCTGCTCAGTGTGGATGCGCGCTGCCTGAGACTGCTACGCATTTCCGATGGTTTGAGGCGCTGGGAAAAATACTCCAGCAGATTCGCACTCGACTGGTCGCGTCGATGGTTGCTCAATTGGCGTCTTGTTGGTTTGCACAGGGGGCGCAAATATGATGTCGAAGCCTGACTCCCCATTGATTCCCCATTCGATTTCAATGCGCGTGCATGGCTTATCTAAACCAGTGTTGCGCTGCAGCGAGATTTGTTGTTTGATCTGCGGCTCCAAGGACGATGCCAGAAAGCGGGTAGTATCGAGCATGGGGGGACGTGCCAGATAATTATCAGCGGGCCAAAAGCCAGCGCCGAAGTGCAAACAAGAGCATGAAACACGCCAGATAATTAAAGGAAACACATTAAGCCGGACAGGGGCAACGGTAGATACGAAGGCCAGCGGAAGGTCGCACAGTGGCGCCAGCTCCCGAGGCGCAGGCACTGCAGCGAGATACTGATCGCCTCGAATGTTTGGTACAAATGCATTCCGGGAGCATGCAATGCGTGTCCAAGCATAAGACGGCTAATTTTCCTCCACTGGCCGCCCTGAGATCCGACCGTCGGAATCCTTGGGCAGTGTTGCGCGGAGGGGCTCACCCTCATCATTCCCCCCGTGAGAAATGTTTCACACTTGTCAGCCAGACAAGCGGTTGGTGGTTGCCAAGCCCCTTCCATCGGAAGACCACCGCTGCCGACATTGCGAAAAGTCACCCAAGAACTCATCAACTGAGACCAATCCTCCATCTGACAAGGGAAATTGTCCTTAGTGCCCATGGCCGCCGTAAAACATCAGAACGCGTGCGTGGTCGGTTCCCGCAACTTTCCCTAACATAACAGATTTAGCTCGATGCAACGTGTCTGTCAAAATTTCTTTCCCAGACAATACCAGTATGTTCTCCCTGCGAACATTTGACGCGTTCCCCAATGTTTCCCTCATCATCTCGATCTCATATGGTCTTGTTGAAATCGTGCTAGATTCAGAATGTGCGGAATAATGTGAGATTCCGACTGATTATTCTCGCGCCCTGCTACCATGCAGAAGTAAACGCAGCGCCAACGATCCGATGACTAACTAACAAACATGACCCAGCACTACCTCGGGCCGAAATGGTTTCAGCCACAATGGCTTGAGCGTAAATGGCTACGGAGGGAAGCAAGGGTAGTCTTGATGAAACGCGCATCCTCACTTACTATGGATTTGGATTGTAAGTCATATGCTGTCTTGTGAAATGCACATGTGCAGGGGACCCAGCAAAAGCGCTCAAGTCAACGTGCACCGCCACCGCCCCGGACACCCTCTCTCTTCCAACCCTGCGGGTCGTAGCGGTGGTGATCCTCCCCCCTTCTGTGGGAGACCCGTTTCCCTGATGATCCTCGGAGGGGCCCACCGTATCGACGACCTATCGAGGGGGTTGTCGAATCTGATGGGACCCCCCAGCTGCAGTCAGCCTGCAGAAGTACCGGGGCAAAGAGGGCTTGGTGGAGGTCGGGGCAGAACTCGGGACCCTGGAAGACGAAGGTTGAGGTGAACCGAACCGCAAGAACGCGCGTGGGCTGCCGACGTGAAGAGAATGACTTCGGATCCATCAGCTCTGGGCAGGAGCCGAAGACGCGCAGAGGCGAAGATATACCCGAACGCCCTACCCATCGTCGGGAAACAAAAAATGTTGAGGTCTCAGGACGCTCACGACCTTCAAAACGCGGTTCGGGCAACTTCCTTGTCTCGCCTGTGGCACACGACTGACGCCCACCTGCCCGTTCCACAGCCAGCGACCGACCGCGATTCGTCTCGCAACTCGCCTGCATCCATCGCCGACCGGCGCGACACTTTCCGTGGCCAAGTCGGGCATCGCCCCTGGAATCTGAAGCAACATGGCATCAGAAGAAACAGGCGCCATGCCAAATTCCACCCTCCCCATTTGGACACACGGCCACACGCTGCCCACCGATCGACGATTGTCGTAAGCCTTGTACGCAGATGAATGACATGCGCCACCACGAGAGAATTTCAATCCTGCGTCTCGTCAGGAGATGTGATTGACACATCGTGGCATTTCATCCGAACTCACAGAAAGGGACGCCATAGGGATAAGGCCCTGATGTCCAGCAAGCTGGCCTTGAGTTTTAGAACCCCCAAGGATTCAATGCCTAGTTGAAGACACCTCCTCGTACATGCCTCAAAGAAGCGACCCAGATCAACGCAATCCCGCCCTCCCGCTAAAAAGAAACCCCAATGTAGTGCCCCATCCCAGAACGCACCAAGAGCCTCCAGAGAAGACAGCGATGCGGAACAATGCTCCTGCCAGGATATATCAAAACCAAACAAAGACTGTGCAATACGTTAAAACGAAGGGGGTGTGTACACTCACGTGCATGTATACAGATATGCAGGGAGAGGAAGGGAGAGATATAGTCCACTACCGTGCCTGCACGAGGCGGGAGTGTTAGAATGCCAAGTGCTGCTCTGGTAGAACTTCTGTATTCTCATAAGGTGCCCCCCCTATCAGCAGATATGCAGATGCACTTCCCCGTCCCTAGGCCACGATCCTTCGTAACAAAGAACTATGGACCAACGCTGTAGACACCTAGAACCCTTCTAAAAACTGCGTGTCCGAGTCCCGAGATTCCAAGACGGCCCAGGCAGGCAGCCAAGGCAACCATGATGGCCACATCTGCCTCGAAGACGGCCCCATGTGTCCTCAAGGGGGCCCAATGTGGCCCTGAGGCAGCCCAAGATGTCTCCAAGAGAATATAACAGGGCCAAGCGCGGACACCAAAACGGTTCGAAGAAACCCAAATCATAGATGCTCCTGAGAGTTTCGAAGGAGTGTCCGCTCTAGATTGCAAATAAGCGTCCGATATTGCCCCAAGACGGTCCAAGAGGCTCCCAAGGGGGCCGCAAGATGGCTCAACAAGGCCCCACGATAATCCAAGACACATCCAAGACGGCCCAAAAGCGCTTATGGAAGGACCCACGACGTCCTTAAGTGGCTCTCGACAACCCAGGACGGCGCAAAGACAACAGCACGATGGCCCCCAGACACCTCCCATAGAGCCAGGAGGGCCACAAGACGGCCCACGAAAGCCCCAAGACTCCCTCAGAGGGCCCCCAAACATCTCATCAAGAGAGTCCCAATACGGACCCAAGGGCTCTAGGGACCCCCATCACTGTCAAAACCAGGACAGCTCAAAGACGGCTAAACTGAGTTCCATGAGCGCTCCTCAGGAAGTGGAGACGACAGGTGTCACAGGTGACGGCCTTCCTCGTTGTCCTCCTGCTCCTGCTTCTCGCGCTCCTCCTGCTCCTCCTGCTCCTCTACCTCCTCATCCTCCTGCTCATCTTCCTCCTCCTCCTCCTCCTCCTTCTCCTCCTCCGTCTCCTCCTCCTCCTCCTCCTCCTCCTCATCATCATCATCACCGCCGCCGCCGCCGCCACCACCACCACCACCGCCATTCATCAACACGGCTCTCCAAAGCCTGGAAGCACCCAGCGCCGCGCGCGACGGCCTTCGAACAATCGCCAACCAGATTATTTGACTGGCACGGTGGCGGGACTTGCCGCAGGCACCTTGATGCATACATGCAGACACACATACACATGCATACACATCTCTATATATGTATATATGCATTGGGAGAGAAAGAGAGAGAGAGAGAGAGAGTCAGAACAGACAAGCATAGGCGAATGAGAGAGTGGTACATAGATGCATGGTCGAATTACATATACAAAGAAAAGGGAGGGAGAGAGAAAGAGAGAGAGAGAGAGACACGCATAATCAGGAAACGCCTCACGTTATAAGATATGATCGCAACACCAAACCAACATGATAACAGTTGCTACTGAGAGGCGCAAGCGCGCCAACTGCAGGAGCTCCGCGACCTCGGCCTGGCGCAGAAAAGATCAACCATATCAATCGCGTGCCTAAACCCGTCAGGCTGACCGTACAGCAGGCAGATGCACAAGGGTACCATCTGAAATTAGCGAATCCGCATGGGAGAGCGCTTGGCATGTCTCCCGCCTCTTCCGATCCCCAAAGAAGTTTTGGCCTTGACTCGAGTCGCCCAACTTCGAGCATCGCGCCACGCGATGCACAATCAAATCGCCGCGTCTTCGCGCCGCGACAGCGACGCGCCGCGCGCGAGTCTCCTAGCGCCGCGGGCGACCTGGGGAGTTAGAGGCCTCCTAGGTGGGGTCGGAAGATCGCGCCGCATCGCCGATACATCGCCGATACATCGCCGATACATCCGCGATACATCGGCGATGCATCGGCGATGCATCGGCGATGCACCAGCGTTGCATCGTCGACATGGGCGATGCATCGGCGACGTCGGCGTGAAGCAATCGGGCTCCACATCGAGCCACATCGGCGATGCATCGGCGATGCGGCGCGATCCTCCGACTCCATCTACTCCGACCCCATCTAGGAGGCCTAGAGGAGTGGAGCGAAAAACAAGGCCTGCAGAACCGAGCCCATGCCAGCCGCGGGTCCCCAGGACTCTCCAGGGCCTGCCTACCTGACCACCCCAACCCAACCCGAAGTCCCGAATTTCGGGTTGGGTGGGGTACGGGTTCCATATGTGTTTGTTCCATGTTCCCCGGCCCACCCCACTGGAAATGGAGGGCAAATTGAAGCCGTCGCGTTGGGTTGGGGTGGTTTGGCGGGTGGTGATCCAGGGCCTGCCTCCTCCTCCTCCGGCTGGACGGTTTCCCCGGGGCCGTAGGCGACCCGAGGAGGGGAGGAGGAGGAGGAGGAGGAGGAGGAGGAGGAGGAGGAGGAGGAGGAGGAGGAGGAGGAGGAGGAGAAGGAGGAAGAGGAGGAGGAGGAGGAGGAGGAGGGGGAGGAGGAGGAGGGGGAGAAGGAGGGGGAGAGAAGGAGGAGGAGGTGGAGGAGGACGGGTCGCCTAAGCCCTTCGGAGAAACCCTCCTCCTCCGACGTCCGTTCCCCGTGCATGTTTCGGCTTCGTGCGTGCTCCTCTTGCCAGATGGTCGAGGATGCTCCTCGAAGGTCCTCGCCGAGAAAGAAAATGCACACGTCCGAGCGACGCCAGCTAGCGGTTGAAAGATTTGGCAAAAATTCCCGCCGATTTTGGTGGCAAGCTGGATTCCTGGGTTCCCGGTTATTGGTTCCGGGCCGATTTCGGTGGGTTCTGGGTTTCCGGGCTCCCGGGATCCCGGTCGCTCTCCTCAGCGAAAACCATTCACTGAGTGGGGCTTTTCTCTGGTGTAATCTTTGACCAAGGCGCCGGTTACTGCATGGCGTCGCCCAGTGGCCTAGAGACGCCGCCGCGCTTGGGTAAACGCACGCCTGGGCGAACTCGAGGCTTGTCGGCGGCGCCTTGGATCTGAGTTGCGGTCGGAGTTATGCCAGGCGCGGACGGCCAGAACGCCCTCAGAGCGTGAATCACTTCGGGATGCGCTGGAGGCAGGCTCCAGTCCTTGTCATTGTCGCTGCATCTGCAGAGACATTGCCGATCTAGGACCAGGAAATGAGTACGCGTAGGCGAAGACACGTCCTGAGGTAGAGAAACACATGTAGGAACATGGATGTCCGCGCGGATCTCTTGGATCGGAACTGACTCCCTTAAGCTCGCAAGGGGCTCCAATCCCGATCCGTGATATTCGCGCGAGTCTCTGGACATGTATCTTTATGTGATGTCCACCTCCTCATGAGGATCATCGGCCTCGGCGCCCTTGGCGCCCTCGTGTCCTTAGTCTTCAGCGCCAGAGGCGGTCTCTCCGTCTGCTAAGCGACTCGCCCTGGGGCCGACTCCCAAAGTCAAGGCCCCGGTCCCCACACAAGGCGAGGCCGTACACGGGGGAGCAAGAGCAGCATCAGTGGTACGCCGCCGAGGGAGGCCCATCAACGTGTTAATTACGGTCGAAGAATAACCAACACATGCATATATATATATATATATATATATGTGTATATATATGTGCATACTGAGGTATGCGGGCCTTCGCCCGGAACGTGATGCACGTATTTTGGTTGGACGTCCAACGCTCGCGAACCTACATCTAAAAACGTCCACTACACTGTGCGCGGTGGAGGCTGCACAAACACTTTCACGGTCATGTCCTTGTCCCCGAACCAGGCCTTCGGACATACACGAAGGAACACCACGCGGACGGGCTCCGCACGGCGGCGCGCCCGGTGAGGCCTCGGCCTGCGCGCAGGCAGCCCAGCCAGGTATAATCAGTCCCCGGCTGGCCTCCACAGGCCCCCCGAGTAGCCCCAGCTGCCCTCAACTGAAGGGGCCCTGGGACACACAAATGAATACACACAAATAAACAGATTCCCCATGTTTTCCCATAGTTTCTGGGTTTTTGTCTTCCCCCCCACTTCCCATATTTTCCCATATTTTCTGGGGAATCGAAGATTAATTGTGTCTGTGTTTTTTCCCTCCTGATCAACAGGCACCCCGAGTAGTCCAGGGCGGTCGCAGCATGGGATCCCAGGGTACATCGGGCGACAGGATCAGGTCATCGGAGGCCTGGGCGGTCGGCCAAAGACTCGCCAAGGACGTCCCCTGGCCGACCCCAGACCGTATCGAGGCTGCCAGGGTGCCCCTGGACACTCCGGGAACGACAGCAAGACCGTGTGCAAACACGGACGTCCGCAACCGGATACCCAGACTGCATGCTTAGAATCGCGGCATGAAGGAGCGGGGACCTGAAGGAAGCTGTTCCTGAACACCCGGGCGGGCGATCCTAGGGAGCGGTTGTCATGGTGAGTCGCTGTTCTGCGCTGGGGCGCTGAAAATGACGAGCAAACTCAGGACCTCTGTCCCTCAGGACTCCTGTCATCGGCGAAGTAACTACATACTGCTGGGCCTCAGGGGGTCTGGGGTCGGCAGGACCCTCCTGCTGGGGTCGGCAGCACATCCCTGGAGCCGCGAGGAGGTTCACGAGATCGCCAACAGGCCTCTGACTTCGACAGGATACTCCCCTGAGGCCCTGAGGTCGACAGGACGCCACTTGGGGTCGACGTGATAGGCAAAATAAAACGAAGTGGCTTACACGCTCCCCCATCCCTCTATCGCCCTCGATCCCCAAACATCCGACGACGTCCTTCTGTATCAAACTGCAGGCCCGAGAAACCTCGCTCCCTTCACCTGGGGCCGTTTCTCAGCCCAGATCCAATTCTGATTGCCCCTGAACCCAAAACAGAGGAACAAGACACATAGAAAAACTTATCTGCTGGAAGTCTGGGTCTCTTTCTGTGAGGGGGGCAATTTTCTTTCAGACTCCGACAGGCTTACTTGCATGGAGGGGGGGGGGGGCGTGGTCAGGTTCGAAAAGAAAACTGGACTTCAAGCAAGTCGGGACTCGCTTGCACGCCTTTTCGGCCCAGCGCTGCTTGAAAAGACGGCGGATAGGCGGGGGGGAGGTGCCATGCAAGCGAACTTGCCAGAATCTGGTCTGGGCCTCCTCGTCCACGCCATCGCTCGGACCCGTTCCCTGTGCTTGTTTCGGCTTCGCGCGTGGTTTTGTTTCGCGAAATGATCCACGATGCTCCTAAATAATCGCCGCCGAGAAAGTGCACACGTCCGAGCGATACCAAGGAGCCTGTTTTTTTTAGGCTCTGGCAAGTTTACTTGCATGGACGGGGGGGGGGGCTGAGCCTGGAACAAGCCCGGGGGGGGCGCGGAAATCACGCAAGTCGAAAGGCACTTGCACGCTAGTATTCGCTTGAAGAGGGGCGAGGGGGGGGGGGGGGGGGGGGGGGGGGGGGGGGGGGGGTGGGGGGGGTGGGGGGGGGGGGGGGGGGGGGGGGTGGGGGGGGGCGAACGCCTGCAATAAACTTGCCTGAAAAAAAAAAACCCGGCGTGTGGAGCCGCGTGGCTCGTGGCCGCCGGTGCGACGGGACACCGGCGGCGGCGCGGGTCCAGCGTGCCCCGACGGACGGCCTGCTCACCGACGGCGTGGAGCGTGGCGTAGGAGGCACCCCAGCCACCGATGGCCGCACCATTATTCAAGAGCGGCCAAGATCAGGGGTTTTTTCAGGGGGACGTAAGACCTGGGTACAGGGGACTCGGAAATCCCCGACGAGGTCGTCAAAAAAAATGACGAGGCCGAGCCTGCATTTTGACGAGGCCTCCCGCTGCAGACATCCCACGAAACTCCTCCTCGTCAAAATCCGAAGCGCGGTCGTCAAAAAACGATGGCGAACCCGAGTCCTGGCAAACCCGGGTCTTACGCTCCCCCGACCAGAGGGGGGCGTCCAAGAGGGGTGGTGCAAATCATGGCGGGCGGCATGTGCGCGGCCCCAGGGGGGGGGGGCCAGGGAGGTAATAGAATAAGAAGAGGCGCCTTGAAATCTGGGGAAACATCATGGCCCACGCCATGATATCCCCCCCCCGAGTCATCACCCCCCTCTTTGCCACCCCCGAATTATGGGCATCAGTGGCAGGACGATGCCGGTGAGCAGAATGGCCGCGTGAAGATGTGATTGCCCAAATCTGCCGACTGCTCTGTTTCACGGGTGCGCGGCCCGAGCCCGTACAGTCTGAGCACTGCCTGCTGCTGCAGCCGCTCGGATGACAAACATCGAATGGACCGCACTGGCGACTTGACGCGGCACCAATGTCCGAGGGGGCACGATGCGATGCGACCGATGCGACCACCGTTGCGGACAGCGCCCGGGCCTACTCAAGACCGGGTGGGCGAGGCCGTGTTCTCAGGAATCTGGCGTGTCTGGACAACATGCAATGCGAGAAATGCGCAACAACAATTAGGAGGGACGGAGGGAGGATGGTCCTTAGGGTCGGTCGTGTCAGCCTGTGGGAAGAAAGGAAGGGGGGAGGAAGCGGAGGAAGTCCTTGGTGTCGGTGTCGACGTGGGATGTCTCGCTGGGCGTTCGCAGACTTCGGGCGGGGTATGTCTTCAGACTTCGGTGGCCACAGGGGGGGCTGCAGATGGCTCTCGAGTGTGGGCCGTCCCCCAACACACAACCCCCAGCCACGGCGCCCCCCCCGCAAGCCTGCCTCGCACCGCTGCCTGCCTCGGCCGCTGCCACCCCTGATCCCACATCCCTTGATGGGCCTGAACCACCACCACCACCATACGTTGGAGGGGGGAGGGGGTCCTCCTCCCCCTCTTCTTCTTCTTCCTCCTCCTCCTCCTCCACCTCCTTCTCCCCTCCAACTTATGGTGGTGATGGTGGAATACAGGTCCATCATCCCTGAGCCGTTGCCTCCCACAGCAGCTGCCTCCCCCAGGGATTGCCTCCCTCTCCAGAGAGAGCCGACGTCTTGATTGCTTCCATGCGGGGGTCCCTGGAAACCCCGACCCTTTCCCCAGGGCGGGTTTCTCGCCCATGGGTCGAAATTGCTGATGGCGCCGGGGCCCAGCCCCCGGGGTACGAAAGCGAAAACCAACAACTGCCCTTCCGAATTTCTTAAGACGTCGAACGCCTGGGTGTGTCGTCCTCCGAGGCCCAACATTCAGGAACAATGAGAACATACACTACCACCACCAGCGCGAGGATCCAGGGGGGGTCCTCCTTGTGATGTGCCCCCCCCCCCCTCCCCGATCGAGACATCCCCTATCCCCACCTCGGGGAGGCATCCTGGACCTCCTCTGGAGGTGGCATTCACCACCCTCTCGCCGTGGCCTCAGGCGGTGGTGATCAGGACTTCGAGGCGAATCCAACCGTGGCGACGAGAACACCCCAGGAGGCGCCCGAAAGGCGAAAACGAGGGCAGAATAACGGTATCGGCACCTGCTCCTCTACCTACCGTTAGGTCGGGCTTGTCCTCCTATAGGCGCTGCTTCAACAAAATAAGAAGAGTCAGAAATATTCGAACATAGTGAACATGTGTACATATGTATATATATATAATATGTATACGTATATAAGTACATAGAACTCAAGACTATTCAATACAGGGTAAAGATATATGTATATCTGTATATGAGAAATCGTCCCCAGACTTTCTTTGGACTGTTTTTAATACTCCTCCTGTAGAGGGACATGCCCAAGTTAACCTTACCAACACAAAACTTAGGAAGGCACCAACTATACACCAACACCGATCCTGGCCCAGGATCACCCTGGGCCCAGGATCGGTGTATACGCCCTCCTGCCCTGCGCAAGAAGGAATATACACCGATCCTGGGCCCAGGGTGATCCTGGGCCAGGATCGGTGTTGGTGTATAGTTGGTGCCCTCCGAAAAACTCACTCTCGCTGTTGTTACCTCCAGCGCGGGGGGCAGCTCCGGGGGGGGGTGCGCCCCAACCGATGGGGGCGAGCACAAGTTCCCCCGCACCTGGAGGCGGACGAGCCGCTGCTCCGGCGGCTCGAACTTCTGCGCCGCTGGCTTGGACCCGAAGGCCTCGACGGCGGGATGCGCCCGTCGTTGCCGCCAGCCTCGATGGGTCGATCGAAGGTCGATGGCTGGGATCTCACTCTAGTCGGGGGTGGCTAAAAGGTGCCCCCGGCCCGAGGAGCCCCCAGTTCTTCGCGCATTCTTGAAGCCCCTGGGGTCCCCTGAGCCTGAGGAGGGGTGCTCTGGAGGTCGTGGGGGCCTCTTTGGAAATCCTGGGGGCACCTTGGGTCAGGGGCACTTCGAGCAACACCCGATCTGGGTCATCAGACTTGGTGAATGCCGGCCGCTGCTCTGTCTAAGCTGCCCGGGCCTCCCACCCTGCGGAGCAATGACTCTGCCACACCGCCGCATCGAGGCCAGCATGAGTGCGCTCAGCGCTGGCTCAGGGTCGAAGTCTGGTCGACCTTCCAGGATATCGAGGTCGCCTAATTTCGCGTATCGCCCCCCACGATACGCGACTCCCTTCGCGACGTCGCGCCCCCACGCCGCCCCCTAGGAGACGGACAGCCGACGCCGGCCCAGACCGCGACGCGCGAAGCGCTATTGATTTCGCGTCACCGCAAGTGACATGGGTCGCCGTAGGCCTCGATCGAGGATCGAGTTTTCTAAGTCTGTCTCTATCGATCGAGGGTCGAGGGCTCCAAGCCTGGATCAGTTATCTAGGATCCGTGACCTGGGGATCGATGTGCTGTGTGGCTTCGACAGCTCCTCTGGGTCTCCAGAATGATCCCTTGACACGTCCAGAACTTGCCTTCGCTCGGACGTCCATTTCCCGTGCATTTTTCGGTTTCGTGCGTGTGTTTTTTTTGCTCGATGGTCCAGGATGGTCCTCGATGGTTCTCGCCTGGAAAAAATGCACACGTCCGAGCGATGCCAAGATGAGCGTCCAAACACGACCTCTGGAGGCGTCCCGCGCGCGACGGTCGTCGTCGTCGTCGTCGTCGTCGTCGTCGTCGTCGTCGTCGTCGTCGTCGTCGTCGTCGTCGTCGTCGTCGTCGTCGTCGTCTTTCTCGTCGTCGTCGTCGTCGTCGTCTTTCTCGTCGTCGTCGTCGCCGTCGTCGTCGTCGTCGCCGTCGTCGATGCCCCCGAGCCTCTCGGCACGCGCGCGGCTCGGGGCCGTCGGAGGCCCTCGGCGGAGGCCGCCAAACGGCCTTCCGAGGCCCCGGAGGTCACCTGCGAGGCGGTCGTCGTCGGGGCAGGCGACAGGAGGCACGGCGTCGTCGTCCTCGGCGTCGTCGTTGTCCTCGTCGTCTTCGTCGTCGTCGTCTTCCTCGTCGTCCTCGGCTTCGTCGTCCTCGGCGTCCTCGTCGTCGCCCTCGTCAACGGCGGCGGCGTCGACGGCCGCCGGCGACGGCCGCCCTGGGACCCGCAAGTAGGTACACACAGATCAGAAAGGATCCCTAATGTTTTTCCATGTTTTCTGGGCTTCTGTCTTCCCCACTACGGCCCATGTTTTCCCATATCTTCTGGGAGATCGACGATTCATTGTGTCTGTGTGTTTTCCCTCCTCCTGAAAGGAGCAGGGAGAGGGAGGGTGGTAGGACGAGGGAAGACGCAGGGGAGAAACGTCGCAGGTTTGTCAGAACACAGGGCAGCGCGGCCCTAACCCACGAAAGGATCAGGGGCCAACGCGTGGGTGGACGGTGACCTTCCAGACAGGAGGGGGAGAGGGGAAGAACGGAGACGAGGACGAGGAGGGCCGAGGGGGAACGAAGAGGATGAGGGACGAGGAGTGACAAGAAGTGATCTAATATCTTACAATGCTTGTCGACATGCAGATAACCAGATTTCCAAATGAAAGGAAAACACGAACACTTCCCCAACTGAGCCTTCTGACTGATAGGTCCCTCCAATAAGGCCCGTACGGGTCCACCAATGTGGGCGCGTACGGGCTCAACATACCCGACCCTGCCGCGGCTCCTTGAGAGAAGCCTGTGCGATGCTTGCTACCTTGCGGTGGTCGCGGGGCCCCGCAAAAGACACACATCTCCTCCCTAAATTCCCAGCACAGTGATTGGGCGGGTCGGCCCAAGATTTTCCACGTTGCCGTCTCGGGCTGGGCGAAAATGGGGAATAGCAAAGGGGGGTCTGAGAATCAGCTCGCGTAACTTATTTTCCAGGCGCTTCCCGGCGCCGGAGGCGGCTATGTATCGAGGAATGGGCCCCTCGGGGCCGAAACCAACTGCACGCAGCAAATTTCGCACCTCCCCCTTCTCCCGATCCCCCCCTCTCGTCTGGCCCGACCGTCCTGTGCAACCTCGAGGCCGTGCGCTGGGTGGGTCGGCAGGAGATTTTGCCACACTGCCGCCCGTGCCGCCCCGGGGGCGCTCGTGGGCGCCCCACGCGCTGGGTGGGCCGAGCCCGCGCCACGTTGCCGCCCGCGCCGCCTAAGAGGCGCCGCGGGTGCCCCGCGGAGTTTACACCACACAGCTTGTACTGCACTGGTCACTCGGCGGTGGACGAACCTCCCTTTAGTGAACCTCCTTTACAATGAGAACGGCCTGGTACCGAAACCGACGGACCTGGACCCGCAAAAACGACGGCCGCGACGCCCTCTCGCGAATGGAAAACGGCCAATTCGCTAATCGACGTGTCAGGGTAGGAGGTCTATCAACCTCCGAACTGCGCGTATATCCGCCGATCCGGTGTGTGAACTACAAGGAGCCTCAGCAAGAGCTTCAGCTCTGAGCCTAAGCAAGAGCTTCAGCTCTGCTTGGGGGGGGGGTCGCCCGGGTGGCTCTGCCAGGGGAAAGGGGGGAGGGGGTGGGGCAGTCCCCCATCTGGCGTTTTCTCATCCAGACCCCCCCCACTCGGGGAAGGGGGGGAAAGGGGGCAACCCTATAGATCGGTTAAGTTTAAAAGTTGTCCTTTTCCAATGTAAAAAAAAAAAAAAAGTGGTGGGGGGGAAAAAAAGGTTTACAACTTTTCAAAAAGTTATCAACTTCCCGGAAATAGTTATTTTTTTTTTTTTTTTTTTTTTTTTTGAAAATAGGCCCGAACTGCGCGAAAACAAAATTATCAGAAATGACAACTTTTAATTGTCAAAAATGTTAACTTCTGTGTGTCAAAATGGTAACTTTCCGTGCGCCGTTTTTGTTTGTTTTGATAACTTTTTTCGCTCCTGCGTTCCGCAGCGCACGCGTTGCGGTTTCGTTTCGGTTTCGTTTCGGTTTTGTTTCGGTTTTGTTTCGGTTTCGTTTCGGTTTTGTTTCGGTTTTGCCTCGGGTTCGGAGTGCGCGCGTCGCTTCGGGCGCTCAAAAGTTTCGCGCGCTCCCATTGGAAAAGGACAACATGTTATCACACACACACACGCACACACATATATATATACACATATATATATATATAGATGTATATATACACGAGGAGAAGGCTAGGGAGGGAGGGAGGTGGGGGAGGGGGGACTGGGGGGGGAGGGGGCGCGCGCGCGTGCGTGTGGGGCGGAGCGGAGCGGGCGTGTGTGGGTTCGTGTGTTGCGTATGTGCTCGCCAGCAGGGGGCCGTCCTAGTGGCGGCGGGGAACGGGGGGAGGGCATAGGCGCCCTCCCCCCTTATCGGCGTCTCGTCCAGAGTCATGCCCTCGCGCGGCTTCTCGACGTCGACGTCGTCCTCGCGCGCGCGCGCCCGCACAACAAAAGAAAGGAACGCCTAAGGACAGAGGGTCGGCGGAATGGCGTAAGCCTTGTAATACGTGCCGTGCGGGAGGTGCTGGGGCGGGGGGAGCGCGAAGGTGGGGGGGGTGGAGGGCGGGGGAGGGAAGGGGGAAAGCCGTCTCTTCCTTTTCCCTGCCCAGGAGGAGGAGGAGGAGGAGGAGGAGGAGGAGGAGGAGGAGGAGGAGGAGGAGAGAGGAGGAGAAGGAGGGGGGGAGGAGAGGAGGGAGGGAGGGAGGAGGAGTCCCGTCTCTTTGTACTGCCCTCCCTCCTCCTCCCTCTTTTTCTTTGCCCTCTCCAGACGCGGGGGAGGAGTCCCGTCCCCCCCCCGTTCCCCCCGTGTCTCTCACCTCCTTCCTCCTTCTCCCCCCTCCCCCTCCTCTGCCCCCCCCCTCTTCCCCTCCTCTGTCCTCCCCCTTCCCCTCTGTCGACCCGTGTAACTGTTGCCACATTTTAAGACGAATCATATCTATATATACCTTCAGAGAGCTCTTTATGTGTATTTGTAAGTCTATGCACTCATAGGTATCTTCAGGGGCCAATATCTGGATACCTTTCGGGTGCTTTGGGGGTATATACAATGATATCAGTGCTGCAGATACCCTGTGTGAGCTATGTAGGGGTACTCTGGGGATACCTTGAAGGATAGAACTGGCGATGATGGCGATGATGATTGCCACTTTACCTGCACACTCCAGTGCCTGAGAAGAAGTGCCTAGAGAAAGTGCCCCCAGGGGGTTGGTGCTGCAGCGGCGGCGCCGCTGCTGCTGGAACCTGCGGTGCCGCTGCTGGTGCCCCCCTCCGCCTCAGCCACAGCGTTGAGGACCGTGTCGACCGACTCGGGCTCGGGCCTCGGGGCGTCCTCGGGTCTGACCTTCGGCATCTTCTTCGGCTTGGGATCGGCCTCGGGCTTGGCTACCTTCGGCCGCTTCTTCGCCTTGGGCTTGGCCGCGGGACGGGCAGAGGCCTTGGGCCTGAGCTTGATCACGAGCAGAGGCTTGGGAGCGACAAGGATCGGGGGCACCGCCTTCGGCTTGAGCAACGGCTGCTCCTGAGGCGCGGTCGCGCGCGCGGGCGGGAACGCTACCTTCGGCTTGGGCACGGGCTGTATGGGAGCACCTTCAAAAGGGGGCATATATCCGAGCCGCGCTTTGGCCCAAATGGCTGCGGATGAATGCTGGCATTTACAAGTTGCGCCCCCTTCCGTCTCCTTCCTCCCCTTCCCCCGTCTTCCCTCCTACCCCCCTCTGTCCTCTCCCTCCCCCTCCCTCTCGTCTCCTGTTTCTTGGAACCCTGCAGGGTTCCTGCAGAGATCGGCCTCGAGGGGCAATTTCGAGACGCATCCGGCCGCGGCCAC